GGTTTTATTACCCCTTGTATCTCAAATTCTTGATTTAACCTATGCTTCAACTCAGTTGCCAGTCCACGTGCATGGCTATCACCTAGTATTCTTATTTTATGTTTCACCCTTTTTGAATTATCACTATTTATATTTACATTTTTTACATTTTTCATTCCCAACTTCATACGGTATGCTTCGATGTCCTGACCCGTCTTTGACAATACGTTATATTGAATTTTGGGGTTATGAACGTCAACTGACACTCTTTCCTCTTGCAAAATCTTGATTACTTGCTGTGCTGATTTTAACTCCATTGTAACCATTTTTAAATAGTCATTCAATTTATTACAATTTGCACAACAATTTAATTCACTTTCACCAGTATTTTGATCCAAATATCGAGAGACACAATCAACGACTACATCGATGGCCGCCATATTACTTATTATGTATTATGCTTATTATGTACATATATTTTGGCTGTTTGTTATTGTTGACAGCACATTTAGAGAAGCAGCAAAATCTTGTTAATTTTCACCTGACCAACCCTCTATCATGACTGTCTGTCCTGTATCATGTCTACCTTCTTGCATTTCTTGCCATGGCTTTGTATATACATTAAGCTTCCTGTATTGCCCAGCCAGAGAGATGTTTGATTTTGTGTGTCAGTCTATAAAAATGAAAATCTCTCATATTTTTTGTTCCTTGTATGTCCCTACAAGATACCCTTCTTCCTGTTTCTTTGCTATCCATGGATAGCACTAAATGGTGTGTTCACTTATAACTGAATTTACCATAGACCTGTTTAGTTAGTTAGTTTGTTTGTGTTTTTGGTATTGATTGATCATTAAAATTTATAAGTAGAAATATTATCTTCACATTCACACTCACTTGAGATTCCTTGATTTGATGTTAAATATGTGGTTTATCTAGTAGTTATGGGTCAGAAACAAAATACAAAGTTTCAGAAACCTTAACATCATTGCAAAAGGAACATGAGAGAGTAGTTAAATATGTTGTCACTTTAGACACAAAAATATAATTTAGACACTTGCTTAATTTGAATGGAATTGAGTGGAAGCACAGCTGCCAACACTTAGAGGTTTTACTGTGTAAAATAAACTAAAAATAAAATGTTTCATCTACATCTGAAGAGGATGACCGGTTCACATCTCAGATACCCTGACTCTGATTTTCTCTAGCTTTTTCTTACCCTCTTCTGATAAATTTCAGGATTGTAGGGCAGAAACATGCCATGGTCTGTTTTAACATTGAAGTAGACTATACTCAATTCCATCTCTACCCCAACCACTTTAATTATCACCATGCTGAGACTTCCTCATCATCACCATATCAAGAAGATTTTGAATTTTGAATTTTAAATTTCAAAATTTAAAAATTTTTAAATTTAAATTGAAGATTTTAAAAATACCAAAATTCAAAAATCAAATTGACGTATGTAAATTAACAGAGAATTTATACATATCTGACAAATATCAACAAGGGGATTCTGAGATATCAGGACCTATTAACAACAGAGAAATGAACAATTAAGAAAGCTGGTATTTTTAAATTTTAAACTACGTGCAGTATAACAGTTACGTGAGAGAAATACACCTGATGATAGCCATTTATGGCCGAAACATGTAGTGTAGAAGAAAAGAAGACAAAAGAACTACAGTAAATTGTTGCACTTAGGACAGAGTTTGTGTCATACACCACATCAAGAAGAGCTTAGGATCTGTCCAATGTATCAGGATCCAGACCATGACAAACAAACCAATGTAATTCTTTCTTTGATAAAAAAAAAATCACTAATTCTTTTCTCTTTCTTTTAGCGACTGTTTATGAAAGAATGCTTCATTGTGACTTCTTTGAAGATTTTCCTGATTCACAGTTGTTTCCATCAGTTCATGATGCAGCACTGTATGCACTACAGTTAGAGAAATCCTGAGAGTAATGCACTTCTTCATTGTTATTTAGTGAATTAAAAGTATGGGAAGTGAGTTCTGTGTCCTTAATGCAGAGCTGTGAAAATTGTGGGTACTTCAGATGTGTACCATTTTTTGCCATATTGTATTTTATACTTTAGGCAGTTCTTTGTGATAATATTTTAGCATCATAAAATACTTAAAATCTGATGGAAGTTCTGTCGACTTACAAACATTTTACATCATTTTTATTACAACAAAATTTAGCTTGGAAATCTTGGCATAATATCATGAATAGAAGTGGCCGAGTACTTGTATGCTTTGTCAAGTTAACATGCTGTGCAATACAAATTTAATCATATTTTTAAGAAATCTTTTTGCTAACTTCTTGGGAGTGTTTCTGCAGTTTATAGTTTGTTATTGCAAAGGAATCCATTACTAGCAATATGATTTCTTTATGGTTTGAAAATGGCTTTTGAATTTCCTAGAAACTGTAATTTATCCATTGGTTAAAAACTGTTAGAAAATTAAAAATTAAACTACAGATAAGAAATGTCGTTAAAATTAAGACAGATTTAAATGTTTCATACAGTATTTTTAATTTACATATTTTGTTATTTATTATTAGTAGTTCATGAATGTTTTAGATCATTAGAATTCACAACATTTGTCATAAGTTCTTTTAGCAGTATTTTTCTAAAGTGAAATTCAAACTGTGATATGAACTTGAGTAGTCTGCAAGGATTAATGTCTTGGACCTTGGCAGTGAGAGCCGGTTCATACTTGCATTTCATAATGTCTACTAGAATAAAATAAAAATCCTGAAGTATTTGCAATTTAGAGGAATCCATATTTCTCAAGCAATAAATTTCTTACAATGTAGGCTGATGTTTTTCAAAGAAAATGTTTCCTTGTTTATGGAAGTGCAGATATTTTAATACAATATCTCTTTGCAATGTTATGTTTAATTGAAGTAATACTGTTTGGATTTTAAATTACGCAGGCAGGTTTGTTTTTATGGCAGTGACTTAAAAAGGTATTTTACTTATTTACTTATTTAGCATAACATAGTAGATGTAAATTGGATTATGTACTCAGAAATATGATTTTCTATAATTAGCAGGGGACTGTTTTATGTAATGTAGTTTATGATGGCATTATTTCAGTCCTTTTTTCCTCAACATTTTAGTTCTTCTGAATAATTCCAACATTTTGTAGTTGTGTGCAGATGTTTGGTGTATGTATCAGTATTGTGTGAAGTGGATTTATACCTAGATTGACATGAAGCAGAATGGCAGAAACAACAGTGACATGAGTACTTCAGTCAGGGTAGAATATGTCAGTAGGATTTTTGAAAGTTTATACTTTATTTCAGTCTGCAGAAATTACTAAAATAGTCCATAAAATCGTTGTGTACCTCTACAAATTATATGTACTCTGTGAAAGGTGCGTCCTTTGCTACAATTTCAACATGCAAGTGACCTTGTCATATATAGTAAGCAGTGACTATCAGTTGTTGCTACTCTCACCAGTCCTTCCTTGCTATGTCTAGTGTTGCTGTTGGGGAAAAATTTACCCAGTAGTTTGATTTGGTTAGTTTTGGTGAACATTTTTGAAGGAAAAGTTTTAGAGGTGAAGGTAAATATGATGATAAAATTAGATGCGATTTTTCAGAACAGTCTCCTGACAGTGATGTTATACATCACAATAGTGTAAGGCAGTTAATGTTAACACTTTGCGGACCACACACCCTTTAAAAGGTTTTTTGCTTTTAAACATGGCGGACCGTTCACCTGTTAACTGGCTTTTAGAACACGATAAGTTGCAACACGCTATACATCGCTCTGGCACCACCTACAGTGCACGCAGCCACCTGCAGATGCGTGATAAGACTCTGGAATGTTTAGTTAGCAGCCAGTAACTTGACCTCGCTGTTTACTTAACCGACTATAATGGAAAATGCTTTGCCTTCTTCAAGCTGTGTGTATCAGCCAGTAGCTAGTGGGGAGAATGGATCAAGGACAAATTTTCCTCCAAAGACCTAGCTGACCTGGCTTGTGTGTGAAACGCATAGTAATGGTGATTCAGAGAGCGGCAGTGACAGGGGAGAACAAAGAATTGTGGCCACAGACAGTAAAAGTGACAGTTGCTCCGACAATAATGCAGGTAATAACATTGCGCATAGTAACATTGTGGGGACAACAAAAAATCTAAAAAAGAAAAAAAATCTAAACCCTGATTCGAAATTGAAATACAAAGCATTTCTGATGAATGTGGCAAAGGTTTGGGCTACAGACCAGATGGTGGCGAAAGAACAAGAGTCAGACAGACTTAGTGCGACCTAGGCCATCAACTCCCACCCCACACATGCCTCATGTGGACACCCCTGGGCGACTCTCGGGTGATATGCGGAAACATACCCTCGTGAAAATTGTGAAGAGTGAACATTCCAAGGGGAAGTATCCTTCTAGGCAATGCCATGTTTGTGCAGTTCACAAAAAAGACTATGACTGTCTACATTTGCAAGTGTGTAATGCCACTTCACAAAGGGGAGTGTTTCCAGAAATATCACATCCTCAAGCACTTCTAGCAGCATTGATAAGTGTTCTCCAAAAATTTTAGTTCATAAAATTAATTAGGAGATTTTATATTAATTTTTAAAGTGAACAGTGCAGAAGTTAGGGTAGTAGGTATAAAAATGCAGGTCCCCAGGGTGATTTAAATATTTAAATCGCCGGTCTGCAAAGTGTTAAAATTGCATTGAATACTTTTAGTTCTTTACAGTGAAGGTGTTTAAAGTCATTAATGTTACCAGAAGAGAAATTTGATGTTTCAACGAGTATATTAAGGATCCTGACCAAATTTGTTTGCAAGCAAACGTCTATGTATCCACAGTCTGTCAATAATGCAACAATTGTTTATTTACCATTTAACACTAAACACAACCTGTTTCGGCCATAGATGGCCATCTTCAGGTGTTTTAATGCTTCCAACTGTTACACTGTTCTGAAGTGTGCTAAAGCCAAGTGTTGCAGTCCATTTAAAAATAACATAATAATTACTTAAAATCCATTAAAGGAGCACTAGCGAATACAACACCACACACTGCTAGAGGGAACAACACACAAACAGGAGGCATATTGCAGATAGCAGACGTAGCAAAGACAACGGGCTAATGAACAGAAAAACAAACTGCAGAAACAAACTTTCTGTAATAATCACGTAGTTAGTTATTGGAGAGGGTGGGTTTCCCCATGCACTTAGACCTGTCTTGGTCCATTGTGCTTCCCTCTATGATATTCTACCAGTCTCTATATCCTACCATCTATATCTTACCATCAGTCCCGCCCCAGCCAGCGAGATCGGCCTCTACTAGCTGAGCAGTATCTATAATGCTTCCCCCATCTACCAGAGGGGTTAGAGACTACTGTTGGGCGGGAAACGTCTGTAATTTTGCTCAGTGGCCTCCTTTGGAGACATGAGGTTCTTTCACGTGCCGTAAAGCTACGACATTGGACCCACGTCTTGAAGTCCCTCCTGGAGGACTTGTTCCCTGAATTTTTCCGCCTTTAAAAATTCCACAACCTCCGCCGAGTTTGAACCCATGTACCTTGAGTCACGAGGTGGGAACGTTACCCCTAGACAACGGAGGCCGCTTAATAATAATCACATAACTCTAAACACGTGGATGACACCCCTTATGAGGTGGAATAGGATTTTACAAAAAATTTTAATAGAAAACTTTAATGGATTTTAAGTAATTATTATATTATTTTTAAGTGGACTGCAACACGCGGTTTTAGCACACTTCAGAATAGTGTAAGAGTTTGGATGCATTAAAACACCTGAAGATGTCCATCTATGGCCAAAACATGTTGTGTTAAGTGTTAAATGGTAAATAAACAATTGTTGCATTATAGACTGACTGTGAATACATAGAGGTTTGTTGAAAGATTTGCAACAGGATGCTGAAATACAGAATTGTTTGTAAGCCACATCAGCAGATCAGTGTCTCGCATACCACCAAAAAGAAGCCTAAACCTCCATCTGCATGGAATTTGTGATCATCTTCCATCTGCTGTTATGATGTTATGGAATATTGTCATCAGAACACCATTCTACAGACTTTTTCATACCTTGTTTGTGTATTCATGAATTTTACGTTTATGACTCTGGTATAAAAGTCCTACATTTTCTCTTCTATTCTGATACCATTCTGTGGGTAAAGAATTTGTTCCTTGTAAATGCAAAACAATCTAAATCTCATATGTATAACACCATTGGTTCAGGTGCCTGCTTCTCTTGCTTTTCTCGATCTGTCTCCCATGTTTATCATTTCCCCTGATACTTCTTTGAATTTTATTCATAAACTCTAATACTGAATATGATGATACTTCTTGGTCCCCATCACACATTACAGCTTTATTACTGCCAAAAGTTTTTTTCAGAATTACTTTGTTCATTCTAATCCCAACACCATAATGAAGATATATATTCATTTTGCATTTTACCACATAATAGCCAGTCATGTGTCCCAATAAGGAGGGGATCTTAATTCTGAGTAAAGTGTTCTGGTCCAGTCTTTCAGCTGTATAAGAAAGTAACCGCGTGAATTTGGCTATAACATGTCAACAGTAAGCAGATTTTTGGGTTGTAAACATTTCATAAGCCTTACTGATGTTGATTTTAGTGTTTTATTTTATCCTCCTGTTGCACTGGTTCGTATCCATAATGTGTATAGTGCATACAGTTTCACTTGTCACTTCACACTATATGTTTCGGCATCATTCTGCCATCCTCAGGTGTATCAATCACGTTAAAACATTGCACTGCCTGCCATCAAGTATCCATTTATAAAATGATATAAAATGTGTGTGTTCATCGTTGTTCAATAATACAATTTATATATTAAAACTTCTTAAGATCTATCATCTTACATGTCGTATATCAAACTCATGTGTAACACCATTCATCTGCCACGGGAGTCGTTCTTCTTACGTTTTAATTGTGTATATACTGTGTCTTATGATGTGTCATTCTCATGTGGCTGTGTGCGTTGTATTGCTGGACGTATGTGTATGTCTTACTGACATAGATCATTGAAGATCTATGATGTTGTTGAGTACTGAAGTACTCCCAGTTCATGCAGTGTAGTCTCTTTTATTCTTGTCAGAAATCAATATGTAATACTGATAGTCCCCCCCCCCACATACTTCTGGTTGGCTGTCCCTCTGTTCACTGGCACTACAGTGGTTTTTGTGGATTGATGAAGTCATTGCAGTCCATCAGTATTTTCTTATTATCAATCTGAATAAATTTTCACTTGCGTTTCTGATTATTTAACACTGCACTTCTTATGGTACTTAAATGTTTCCTGATTGATTACAAGTCTACACTATAATTCCAGGAATTTTAACTGACTATTGTATGGGATAGAGCAATGAGAAATTATCTCAGGGTTAACATGGTAACTAGGATAATCATTTTGAAGTCTGAAAATTATAATTCAGAAATGGCTGGAAAAATATATGTTAATTTATTTCTTTGCATTTATACATAGAAATTACTTTTGATACGAAATAAAATGATCAATGTAATAAATTCAAAACTGTAATATTTAAAGATTTCATCTCATTGACTTTCCTTGAACTAGTGTAGTTTAAAATTAGAGTCCTCAAAATCTGTTGTTTCATGTGGTCTTAAATTCCAATTTACATCATTACGATAATGCCAAAATAGCCAGCTGCTAGACATAGTTTGTGTTCATGTTCATATGTTCCTATTGGGAAATTTTTTTAAATTTTTAAGCAGCCACTTTTCTCTAACATGAAATATTACTGAAACAAAATCTTAGCCATTCAAAACCTTAAGTACAAGTACTTGTATAAAGCATCCAAGTGGTCCACTTCCTGGGAACAACAAAACCATGAAGAAACCTATTTGAAATTCTTGAACCCAGCCGTTTACTTATATTATTTTGTTCTTTGTCCCCTCTACTCGAGGACCTCCGTGACCTGTGGAAGATATTATTTATTGTTTCTAGAACTGTCTACAGTCTTCTGTTGAAAGGAATTAATTATTTGAGCAGTTCCTTTTATTGTATATAAATTACATATAGCCACTACAGTATATGAATATAAAAACAGAGTCATACAAGAGTTTAGTTAGTTGCTTTATATAAGCCATAAGATAATCTCATGTCATAGTGTTTATTGTTTCTGCTCTTCGTTCTTTGTGAGATCATATCTACACAATGTATCTCTGAATTTTTCATGTTAATGGTGCTAGTTATTACTGTAAGTTGTAGCAGGAATTAACAGTATTACAGATTTCTATTATTATAGGTGCTGTAATTAAAGTACTTAGTCCCTCTGTGTCTGCTAATACAGACCAGTGGTGCTCACCCAGGATGTCAGAAGTTAAAAGTTGTGGGCAGAAGATATAGTTCTCAGTTTATTATACTGATTAAACAGGAAATTATAAGAAGTCTTTATGTGGAGGTCAGTTGATAACAGCTTTAAGAAGTATGAACTCTTCCCTGCTAGTGAAAATAAGCATGTATAATAAGAGCACAGACCTCTTTACTGCTGCATCAGTGTACATAAATATTTTTCTTTTCTCAACTCACCAGCAAGTTGCTTCAGAAGCAAATAAATACTAATTCCATGGAACTGAGCTTGAGAAGTCACTAGTTCCACAGCTATTAAAAATTTCCCAACAGTTTATGGAACATGAAAGTTTATTACCAAGTTCACAAGAACCCTACACTGGTTCCTGTCCTGAGCCAGATCAATCCAGTCCATACGACCCCATCCTATCTCTCTAAGATTCATTTTAAGATTTTCCTCCAATCTACATCTAGGTCTTACTAGTGTGACTTTCCCACCAAAATTCTATATGGTTCCTCTTCTTCCCCATACGTGCTACATTCCCTACCCATCTCACCCTACTTGACTTG